GGGCATCTCCTATGGCTTGTGTTGGATGGAAGATGCTGATGCCCTCTGTTCCTGCAGTCCTACAGTACTAGTCCCTGATGTTCTTGTGCCATTCTGTCCTGCTTGCCTACTCATTTATAGATCTATCAGCCTCTCCAGCGGAATGGGGAAGAAAAGGTAAATCTGCTAAGTAAATTTTGATAGGGAAAAAAATAAAGGAGGATGTGGTATCCTATGAGACCTGCAGTGATAGCTTTTGGCTGTCTAACGCTGTCACCTGTGGTACACGCAGTCCTTTCAACACATCATGGCTGCATTTCTGTCCTTTTTTTTCTGTGTTCTCTGAGCTGCCTGGATGAGCAGATGTTAGCCCTTGGTGGGAAGGCAGGGACAGAAAGCTCTGCCATGCCTTCAGCCCTCGCAAGGCTGTGACAGAAGAATGTGCATCTCGGGTCAGGGCAAAGGCTGGTTTTGCTCAGTTTCTAATCAGTCAGTAGAAACTATTCAGGGAAGTGAGAAATAAGATCTGGCTGTGAATAGGGTAACTTTTTCCTCCAGTATAAATTCCTAGCTATGGGCAGCCAGTGATTTAGGAGTTGCTTGTGCCAGAGGCCGCATCCAGACTGTCTCATTAATGGCCACAGATGAGTTTCAGATGACCAGCAATCCCACCTGCTCTTCCTGCCCAGGGACTCTCCCCAGCCTCTCCTGGGCAGGACCCAGCCACAGGGCCAAGGTGTCAAATACATGAAGTGCCTGTACAAATTTTGGAAAAGCTAATGGCTGGGTAGAGGAGAGAAACCCAAACTGGGCTCTGGAGTGACCACAGCACGAGCTTAACAGTTTGACCTACCGGCTCTCAGGCAGGACCATGTGTAGCACTAAATCAGCTGAAGCCTGGCCTTCAAGGACCAGCTCTTCACAAGAGCCTCTGCCTGAACCAAATGCTTTAAAAAGGGCACTGCCAGATATTTCTTATTTCAGAAATAAGTAGCACCACAGAGGCCTCTGCTGCTCTGTGAGGCTGGTTTGTGAGTGCTGGGCTCCTGTCTCTGAGCACTGCCCAAGGGACTGAGCTGGCAGCCTTCTAGCATTAGTCTAGAGCTGTGACTTGTGGAGGGAGAAAGGGCACAGAATACCATTTTCTCCTTCAGCTAAGCTAATTCCCACATTTTCCTCTTTTCCCATTTGGTGTACAGGTTTTATTTGTCTTTCTCTGGCATTCAGTTTCCTTTGCTTATCTGCAGTGCTGCAGCCTTGAATAACACTGTGTCCTTCCTAGAGAGGTTAACTAGAAGTTGCTTTCCCAGTTATTGATTTAACAAACAGCAACAGGAGAAATATTTGATACCTGTTTCATTTGAAAACAAGAGTGTATTTAGGGACAGAGAGCATTTTATGCATTAGCAGTGAACTCCTTTTGGTCCAACATACCTTCTTGTGCCTCAGGGTCTTTGTTGTTAAACCCCTGGGGTAGAGTGATGGCAGCAAATGGGCACCATGATTTGGCCAGACAAGGTGGGAAGGGAGTGTCAAATGTCAGGAAAGAAATGGAATATATGTCCAGAGCTGGATGGGAGGGAAGTTGGAGTTGAGCTGGGACTGATAATTTGCATTCAGAGTTGAGAAATCATTTTTAATCCTTTTTTTTTTTTTCCTATTCAATTTTCTCTTGTAATTACAAGCCAAAATGACTATTACTGGGCACCTCTGCTCGTCAGCTTTATGGATTGGTGTCAGCTTCAGACCTGAGAATAATGTATTTTGGGTGCCATTGTGACTGCAAGAAGGCACTAGTAACTGCAATTGTAGGACACAAAAAAGTGGATAATAGAAGCAGGTAACTGTGGTGCTGTTTAAAGCACATATTGATAAAGAAGTCTGGAGATGTGAATTCTGCTCCCCTCTCTGCCTTGTGTTTCCTCTTTGAGCCAGGGGAAGCCAGTGCACTTTTCTGTGACCCTGTGGTTCAGCTCCCCTAAAGTGACATCAGAGCCTCCTGACGTGTACCCTTGCATTTGGTACCCATAGAAAATGTTCATTGTCTTTCCCACAGAATAGGATGAATATCTTTTAGTACTGGGACTTCTGAATTTCAGCCACTGACTACGCCAGTCGTAACTGGTGTTGCAGTTTGTAGCCATGGAAAAACAAGACAGGTTGTACTGCTTGGCCCACATTATGGCTTGGGCACCATTCCTGTATTCAAAAGTCTTGTTCAACATTTCTAAAATTTGCATCCCTCCAGTAAAGAGAAGTCAATTTGCTCTCTGAAGTTGGGAAATCGCCCACAACAATTAGAAAGTGCTGCAACCATTAAGTGAGTCTGGTTGCATCTGTTTCTAAGCATGACGAAGCTTTTCCCAGTGGCTGCAGCAGGGCGCCGCAACGGCTGATGAGGCAGTGGTATCGCAGGGCAGGAAAGCGCAGATGTCTGCCTGGGTGACTGAACAGACCTAATGCTACATTTCTGTTAGACTGATGTCATTCTTTGAGATTGTCAATAGAAAGCATAAGCTGATTCACCTTCTTGGGATGGAGTTAAATCTGAAGCTTGGCTTGCCCGAGGAGACCTGGGTCTCTCCGTGACAGGAACAGCGGCTGCTGCTGATGACAGCATCCTGAGACGCTTATAATGGCCGTGCAGATCACAGTTGTTTTGAATTGCATGTGGCAATTTGATTTCTCCTCAAAGAGCAAGCCAACATTAAAGTGAGCTCAAGTAAAAGACATTAATTTTAACATATAGCATGTCTCAAATTTCCAGCTCTGTATGAGTGTGGAGACCTCGTGTGAAAAAGTACCGTTTTGAGTTTAGATACTGTCTCGAAAGGGATAAAATGACTGCATTAATGTGCCATTTGGGGCTAGTTTTCTTTACACAAAATGGAACTGAACAGCTTTTTCTCAGTTACAAACATTTAGGATTGAACACAGCGGTCTGTGTATGTGATACGCATTTGTGTATCTACGTACAGTCACGCTGTGGTAGACATGCTAATGTATTCATTCACACTATTCTATACTTACGTATTACCAATATGGGTTATTTTTTTAAGTACTACCTATGCCATCTCAAGAGAGCTGCATACAATAGAGCCGACCTTGGAAAAGATACCAAGTGTAATAATACACACTGTGGTTAGTGTTTGTGCACTTTCTAGGCATATCAGAAGCACAAACAGTTTATAAATGTGGAAGAACAGTGTCTTGGAATAATTTCTTTTAAATGCAAAACACATCAAACGTTAATCGAAGTTGCTTCTTTTATAAACAAGAATCTCAAAAGGAAAGGGGAAAGTTAGTGGGGAATTAAGTTGGATTTTTTTTTTTAGTTGATATTTGTTTAATTTTGTGTTATTGCAGAAACTGGAACACAAAGAAGTTTTGGTTGGCATGTTGTTCCTGGTTTTCCCATTCATCCCAGCCAGCAACCTCTTCTTCAGGGTGGGATTTGTGGTGGCAGAGCGAGTCCTTTACATGCCGAGGTAACTATTGCAATTGAATTCCTTTCTAATGAGACCACCATCCCATTTTCTAAAAGCAGGCATGATTACTTCTTCCCTTTTACAATACTTCAAACATTATATTGCTAGTCAATGTGTTCTCTGCCTTTGAGTTTTGGTGTGATAGCATGAGAGATTTTATAGTTGGTTGAGAGCAGATTGCTTGGCAGGAGCAAAGCTACCCAAAATCCTTTCTCTCTTTTTTTTTTTTTTTTTTTTTTTAACACAGATTTTTTGGTGTGCTTGAAACAGCTCGATACAGAGCAGAGATTTTGTTTCCTGAGGATTGTCCGCCAAAACTCTTTTTCTTGGTAGCATTATCAACTTAATTGTCCAAAGTCTTTACCTTAAGCACAGCAGCTGAAAAGTCAACCTGTTATATTTTTATTATGATATTGCTCAGCTTTCCCACTACATTAGGTAGTCAGTAAAAACAAAGATGGCTATTGCTATTTTAAAAGGCTGCTGTCTATAGTTGTGGAATATGTGCATGACCTCCTGCCTGTAAGCTGCATACACATCTAAGGAGGATTTCCAGTTGTTGAAGAGGATGAGGAAAATCCAGCCACTTCTCCATCCCTCAGCCTCTGCCATGGGATTTCCCTGAGTTTCCAGCCTCTAACAATTGTCACTTCAGCAGTCTGCTTCCAATTGCATTTGCTCAAGGACAACTTTCAGGTGTTACTTCTGACATCTCCAGGGTATCCAGACCAGAGGCTGCAGTGGCAGTCAGAGGACATTCATCCAAGATGCACCAGACCATTGCTCATTTCACAGAATCACAGGATGGTTGAGGTTGGGAAGGACCTCTGGTCCAAACCCCCTGCTCTAGCAGGGCCACCTACAGCCAGTTGCCTGGGACCATGTCCAGATGGCTTTTGGATGTCTCCAAGGAGGGAGACTCCACAACCTTTCTGGGGAACTTGTGCCAGTGCAATTTGTTCCAGCCACGAGCATAAATGGTCATTCTTGGATGCTGCAAGTCAGAAAGTCCAACTGTACCCTCAGGCGCAGAGGATCAGCATCTGTTATCTTTAATGAAAACTGCAATTATGGAGCTGTTGACAAAGCACAAGTCCTCATTTTCACTCTAGATTACTTTGTAATGACGGAAACGATACTTTTATTCCACGAAATGTTTAAATTGTATTCCTCAGAAAATGTGGGTCCAAAAAAATCCTAAGAGAAACACTTACAGGTAGTCTTTTGCAAAACTGTGTGCATATTCCGGTCATCATTTGTATAAGCGCTATCACAAAAGAGCTGCTCATGGGCATAAAACTCAGGCTGTGTTGGAGCTGTTGCATTTATTACAAACTTCTTATGCATTTAGGCTATATCTCTGTGCTCTCCTATATACTGACATGCTTTTTTGGGTCAAATCCTGCTAACTTTATTCACATTACGAGCCCTGCTTTTGTTTGCTGAGAATATACCTGAAAAGTATAGCGAGTGAAAGTTGTCCGTCAGAGTTATTCTGCGAATGATACCCTCAACTAATGGATCTTGCATCATCTCAAATTAACTTGGAAATCAGAATGCTTTAAATTCATGTAAAAGAAAATGAGGAAACACATGAAAGCGCAAAGCTATTAAGGAAACAGTCAGCTGAACACAGGGCTGTGTTGAGTGGTTGCATTTCTGAATCTCAAAAGAACAACTGCGGAAAATACTTCAGCCGTCAGCAGTTCCTCGTCCTTCTCCAGATGAGACTGCTGATATAATGAGAGGAGGGGCAATGAAGAAGAAAAAAGGATATGTTTGCACAGAGAAAATTAATCAGCGTTAACATGTGTGCATATAGCTTGTATAATGTTTTTCATCTCCCTGAGGGCTTTGCAAATGTATGACCTACAAAGTAGGTAATTGATAGTTGCTGCTTTTTTTTCAGGCAGGAAAACTGAGGCAGAAGGATTAAATGATTTCTCTGGAGTAAGTCTGTGTCAGAGTCCCTGGATCTCATACTTTGCTCGGATCCCTCATGTCCTGCTTTGCAATATTTGGTTTTTGTTCTTACTCCAGGCTGGCAGGCAGCTGACATGGAAAGGGAAGGCAAATGCTGGCAGTTTGTGGGAGAGGTGGGCAGTTCCCAGCGAAAGGATCTGGAGAGAGCTGAGCTCTTGGCTTAGTGTTACGAAGAAATGAGCTGTCTTACATCTTCCGGGTGCAAAATGGCATGAGTGGTGAGGGGGATTTCTGCAATCATTCATGACTAAGGGAGAACAAAAATAATGTGTGTGGGTTTGTTTTTGTTGGTCATCCGTCCCCCTCCCCTTGGGAGCGTGGCAGTTTAATAAGGATGACTTTAGGAAGGGCTCACGGTCTTTATTAAGAACAGCCTTTAGAAGTTTTCTCATGTTACATCTTGAAAAGGGCTTTTCCTATCCTTTGCCATTCCTTCTCTAAAACTCAATTAGTCAGTCAGATGTTGTCGTTCAGCTTTATTTAGACAAAAGTCCTCAATCAGATGGGACGAACTTGGTGATCTATGTTTTTAGGTTGGTGCTGGAAGGTGCTTTTCTATCTCTGTTTCAAGTAATAGCCTTTTATTAGTATTTATGGATGTGACAGTTGCATATGTGTGTTACAGCCTGAAGTCCTAATTCAGTGTTTCTCAGTAGTTACCTGGGCAAAATATGAAGCATTTTCTTTTCAATAAAAGTTAAGTAAGGACCCAAGGATTTATGTAAAAGGTCTTGTAAACAGAAAGGAAGAAGGAATAGGCCTTTTGCTCGATGTCTAATTATATGGCTGGGCCTTGCCTTCTGGGGATTGATGGGTATTTGGAACAATTTCTCTTCTGTCTGCAGCTGTGCCTCGGGGGAGAGGGATATAAGCTAAGTCAAAATGGTTGAATGTTTTCTTTAATTGGCTTTAGCAAAACAGAAATATTTGGAGAAAATATTTCTTGTATTTAGTTTTCATTTGAGGGTTACAAGCACTTATTTGTTTAAAACAGGAATTTTTAATAATAGTATTACTTTAGCCTGAAAAATTTAATAGGAAAACAATTTATTGTCTTTCAACTTTTAATTTTTTTGTGTTTGTTTATCCTTAAGAGGGGAAAACTTGTTTTCAGGAAGTTGTGAAATACATATCTTGGAAGTGGTTGACAGGATACAACTCTGCAGGCTGCAGTTTTCCAGAGGCATCAGAATAAATAGCTGGATCAGTGACAGACTTAAACCACTGCGTGTTTTTTCCCTCTTCAAAATGTAGATGTAATTACGCTTACTGCGTATCTGCTAATGCTGCTCAGAACACTGCAGATGGCCTAATTGTTTGAAAATCCAGAACAACTATGTGCATCCAGTTATTCTGAGCCAGTTGTCCGTGCTTAAACAGGAGCACTAGCTCTTCCTCTGTGTTGCCCTTCACCATGCAGAAAGCAGAGAGGCAATGCAAACTCTTGGGCCATCGGGGAGCTGCCTGCCCTACTGATGTACCTGCAGAGCTGGGGTTGCTCTCACTTCATGGGATCAGACCTTTCCTACCAGAGCAATTTCTTAAGTCTTCCTCATCTTTCATTGCTACCCTGATAGCAGTGGCTCCTGGCTAGCCTGCTGTATCATAGTCGGGCAACTTAAGCTGTTTTCACAACCTCATATGAACCAACAAATCAACCAAAACATTGCTAAATGGCTTATTTCCAATTTACTGAAAGCAATAGGCAATCCAGTGGTACCTGCACCGTTTTTATGGCAACTCATTCATGGTGGATATT